TCCTCCGTATACCAAAAAAATAAGGAAGAACGAAAGTTCCACTAAAGTACAGTAGTCAACTGAAAACTTAAACAGCCAAAAATTGTAAGTTCAAGGCAAGCTTCTCCTAATCTCTCGCACGTAATGACTTACGAACGTTCTTAGAGGTCGCAGAATCGCTTCTAGAGAAAAAAGACCACTTTTATGGGTGATTACTGATGCTGAATGATTATTGTGATCATCGTCACACAAGCCACTGACTGCACTGCAATGAGAGTAGGCTCTAACACATGAACTTATTTAATGCTCACCTCTATGATCTACTTAACTATCCTTAGGGGCTCTAAGTTAAATATGCGGTTTGTCATTTGCGCATTATGGAGGTTTGCCTACAAGTTGGTTATAGAAAAGGGGGAAAAGATCGTGTTTGATAGATACAGCGAGCGATAACAAACGGTCAAATACAGAAATTCAAAAAAAACAATTCTAGCAAGCCATTGAAACAAAAATCAAAACTGAAATGCAACAATCATAATCCAGCTACAACAAAAGTGCACGTAAATGCGTTGCTGATTATTATGATCTTATAGCTCTGGGTTAGAGTAGGATACGTTAAGTATCTCGAAAAATTGGCCATTTGTTAATATTGACATGTAATAATATGACAGAACAGTGAAATATAAAAGCATCCCTGACTCGAGAGGACGATTACTAATTTCGAAAATGAAGCCTGAAACTCCATGTCATCATCAAGATGTCATATGTCAACATGCTTCAATGTCGTATCCTATAATTGTCAAAATAATCTAACATCCATGGCCATATTCAGGTGTAGGAAAAGAACACGAAATCCTCCAGGCAATCATAGATCATCTAAATTCGTCATTAGAAATATCATTATAAGTATCTAACGAAATGCCTCATTCGTTGTACTAGTAGGTACAGTTACTAGATGTAGTATCGTTTTAATCGTTAGCTTTCACACGTAAACACTGTCATAGAAAGAAAACTCTTTTCTTCCACTCCTTTTATCCAGTTCACGAACAAGTGTTATATCAAGTTGCTGTTGAAATTCTTAAATATACAATAGAAACTATGTTAGAAAGATAACTTCAGGCCGCTAGCCTTTATTCAGCAGTGTTGCTTGTGGTAAAAAGGAACCCTGCGAAACGGCGCACAGACACAGTCAGACGGAAAATAGAAACGTCAAGAATGCAACTACGATTCACATGAATATGTGCGCATTTATGTGTATGTGTGTGTGAATTATTAATGACGTAAATCAAGAGCAGGAGATTAAAAGACGCACTATTTGCTATGCAGAACATGCGTATCATGTTACTCATTTAAGGTGACGGCTGTGACTGTAATGTTGGTCTCACATAATATTAATAGAATGCATAGCTAATATGCGCTAATGGGAACAACATAAGGAACGGCTCGTTTAACTTACGTGTTGTCACTATGAGACAAGCACATATACAATTGGTTCATTGTGGTTGTTTGGATAAGATTTCCAAAAAGGGCTAACAAGTAAAATTTTCGGCCACGAAGGATACGTTACAACAGTATTGCAATACAGGGCTAGAAAACAACATATCTGAATCGAGGTTGTTTGTATGTGCTTATAAAGCCGTCACTGCCTTTGCTGAATAAAATGAACAACTTTTCAGGGGTCAGCCAGCTTCGCGGCAAAGTTGATAATGGGCAAAACGCCACTGAGGAAGTAGATATTGCTACTGTGTAAGACAGTCGAGCTGTTACGGCACGGAACATCATTACGATGGGGTGGTGGCATCGTTTATCACCGAAAGAAGAACCAACAGTGTAGAAAAACATTACAAACAAATTACATACAAGCATTCACGAGGTCAGACTCGTCAGGCCTTGCCCTGGCAGCCCTGAAACACATTTCCAGACAGTAATAATAATAGTAAAACAATAGATGGTGATAGCCATAATGATAACACTTGGTAAGACAAGCATGTATATATGCGTAGAAAAAAAGTTTACAAAACACTCTTTTGTCTAAAAACAAATTTAAAAATTTGCTTCTAAGTCTGCTAATAAAATTGCGGATACTATTTTTACCCGTACCATTATCGTAAGATGCCCTTCGAAACAAATTTATTTATATAAATAGTCATAACCGCCAAAATTACCTTAAATGGGTAATGTTATATGCGCATCATTCGGAGAAGAGATCGATGCCGAACGTTATTTTGTCAAGGTAATTCAAGAAGAGTAATAATAATTTTAACAGAAGTAATCTCTGTCACACAAATTCACTTAGCTCTTGATCCGGAACTAGTTCCTGAAGTAGGTGCAGCCTACGCTATATAAACGAATAATCCTCCGGCGCAAAACAGTGGGTCCGTCAGACACTTAACATAAAGCGGCATCCTATAATTGAACTGCCTCTAATGGTCAGCTTGCATGTAATCATCACGAATGTTTAGGCAACGAAATTTCAATGCAGGAAAAAAACACTGGAAAATCATAAATTAAAAAAAAGTGATTTCTTGCGCCACTCCGTTCATCCTAACAAAGACAACGGAACCATAACGCCTGACGGTATATGCATTAGACAGAATTTCGTAAAGTCAGAGACGCAAATATGCAGCAGTAGACGCCAAATTTTGAAGGCATAGCATACAACATTGCGTCGCATAATACAGAACAGATCAGCCAACTGTTTTGTTGTAGTATCAATTCAACGGCAATAGACATCGGTTTCGGATGAAAAGAAAAGCAAGTGCGCGATTTGAGTAATAGCAGCCTCACGCATGCACAGAGTACGGCAGTCTCTTACCGTCCAGAATAAGAAAGTAAAACTTTAAAAATGGTGTTTCGCACGACATAGCGAAGTTAAACATCGCATTATTCTACTATGGCAAACATTCCTTTTTACAGCGTACTCGACAGCCTATTTTTGCTGTCATAATCTTCTTCAAGCCGCTATATATATATACATATATATATATATATATATATATATATATATATATATATATTTTTTTTTTTTTTTAAATACATCAACTAATCAAAAATGTTTCGAGGACAATAACCTGAAAATAAGAAGGCTTGCTATACAGGTTAAAAAAAACAAATTCAGCGAAACTCTGAGAAAATTACAACTGTTAGTTCAATTAAACATTATTTCTATAGTAAAATTAATATACTATATTGTGGACAAATAAAACATTAGGCAGCTATTGTTTATAGAAGGTACCGCGAACTGTCCTCGGCGTATGTAAAAGTTGAATGTGATTTAGGCACGTGTCGCAAACATTAATTTATTACTTAAAATATCTTGTCCTACCGCGCTAAACTATAATATTATATATCGATTTGTGTACACTATTTCTTGTCTTGTTTTTCAGTTACGATATTTTGTATTAGTCAGAACTGATCCATACTAAAGTCGCTAAATCGAACTACTGATATATGTAGCACCACTACAAAGCTTTCGAGGATTAAGCATAAATAGGAAAGGACTCGATTGGATCATCATGCAAAAAGCTTTATTTTAAATGAGATTTTTGCAGAATATATAAGATGAAAACTGTTTTCTTAAATTCCACATCTTTACGCTAGGAGATTGCTTGTTGTGTACTAAAGAGTGGGGTTATACCTAAAAAAAATGGAAATTTCTTGCAAAATTCATACTTTTACGTTCGTTTAGATGGTACATGTGAACGCCTTTTAACAGATATCCTTGAAGCTGTCCGAAATACAACGATAAATACGATTATTTCAACTTTGTTGCGGTTTCTATGCAATAAAACTTCATGGAGCAAATTACTAAAACCACTAACTGAATCGATGCTGTCTGTTAAACCTTTTCGCCATCCCTATCTGATAACGATTATCGGAAATGTATCATTTGGCCCGGGAGTAGATTCCCTATAACGTCTCCATTTGAGACATGAGCACTAGTGAATGCGACGGGTGAATTCAGCACACAAATGACTGAAATTAACAGTTGAGGCCATGATTCGTTTCCAAACATAAACACAAGTCAACGGTCAATAGTTCGTTGATGTTAGCTAATGAGCAGGAATTCGTAAAACGTACTAACTACACTTCTTTCTATATTCGTATAACCAATACGTAATAATAAAAACAATCATATAATGGAAATAGTAAAATTCCGATACGCAAATGAGGATAAATCACCACAAACAGAATAAAAACACGTGTCTGTATAACATCCGGCTGCTAGAACGAACGTAGCGTGAGAAAAGCTGCACCACTTTGAAGAATTCGATTTTTTTTGCGTCGCCTATGCCGCCGAAAGCAAGAGGTTGAGTTGGATTTTTTTACCTTCTTTATTGAAGAGAGGCTGAGCGATGTTTACTACCTCGACCTTTGCTGCGAGTAGCCAGAAAAGGCAGCATCTATCTCTTTTTTTTCGCCGTTTATGCTCCAGTGATGATCATAATATTGTCTAGATAGAGCTTTTTCGCTTATCTCGTGACGACAGCATGACAAAATTGATACCCTTTTAGGTGTGGGTCTGATTGTCGCGTCGATGATGGTCGCGATGAACTGGCACAGGCCAAACAAACTGTCAGAAAGATTACTCTATTTGCGATCCCTGATTATGTCGCCATTTTTGTCATCCGTCAACTACACTGTGTGACGTTACGGCCGCTTGGCTATAAATGTATACAATTTATATGCACGCTGCGGTGCACCAGTGTATTTATGTAGACGTATATAGATAGGACTATAGATAGTATTGGCCACATGCGAAAAAACAAATTTCATAAAAAAACAACAGTTTACGTTTTTTTCGTTTGTGGCTTAATAATTATATGTCTTTAAAATTTTGTGAAACGTAGGTCCTATTATTAGAGGGGCTGATATCGTTTGTTTCCTCGTTTTTGTTCCAGTTTAGTGTGGGACACCTAGCCAGCGTAGTGATACTTTTGGTTCTCTATATCGCTACACGAATAGGAGAAATGTTCGGCTTTCGTTGAACCTGAAATGCAACTTATAGAAAAAGGCGTACTCACCGAAACTCCAGCCATAGTCGAGAATGGAAGAGTATCGCGTCGTGACATGTCGTAGCCGATGTTGTTGTCGAATAGCATCCATAAGCCGTTCGTGAAGTGGAGGTTCCTTTGGCGGGAGCTGTTTCAATCTTCGCTGGCCGACCGGCACGAGTGGAGGACGCGACCGAATAAACTCAAGAATCAATGCAAATGCGTCCTTTTTCACTCGCGGGGGCAGCTCACCATTTACCATCACCTATTTCGTATAAAAAACACCGATTCACCGTAGGAAAGTGGATATTTTGTGTTAAAAAATTGTCAACACAAATGCGTATGCAGGTAATTTGACGTTTTGGCTCATTCTTTCGATGTATATTTTTAATACGACAATTTATGTTACAATGAAAACATATATTCTCACGTTCTAGATATAATTTTTTACAATTATATTTATATTATTCACGCTCGTACTCGTGAAACAATAGCTGGCTTGTTTTATGCGTGAATTTATATCTTCAGAATCGTCGACAGACAGACAACCAAATGGCACAATGGAAAAAATGGCATTGCGAACACTAATAGAGCGCACCGGAATACAATGACTAAATAGAATGATTATTGTTTAAAGCATGCCTTTGGTGCTCCTTTAAAACCATCATGTAACATTTCATCCAACTGTAACCATGCTGAACTGTAATAGCAGTATATAACGCCATCCTAATATAATGATAATTAATAGTACTTTAGCATCTAGACAATAATGGCTCTTATTGCATAGTTACTGTTCTCTTTCAGGTGAACATTTACCCATGTAAATGACATACATTTCTTGAACCTTGAAGTTAGTAAGGTTTCGGAATTGGCTTTCCTTATATTTAGACAAATTGGTTCGAGTAATACGTTCGGCACTGCCATCTATCAGATGGCTGCGTGAAACTAAAGTCTCTACATTCAGATTCAAACCTAGACTACTACATGACCCTAACAACAACCACTCTCGATAATTCCCAGCACCTGATATAATACGTACAGTTGTTACAATATAGTAATAACAAAAATAATACCATATGCGACATTATAATCGAAACTGCCACATTTTAAACGACACCGGAACAAAATAGAGGCACGCTTTACGAGGGTAACATTTATATACGAACAACACATAAGAAGCATCTTACTATTTTGTTCTTTAAGTAAATACTGTGTTTCATACAAGATTATCTTTTATCAGTAAAAGTAAAATTTACTAAATGCTTTTTGATATTTCTACCTGAATGCGTACGTGAAACTGTATTATATAGTGTTATATAGTCATGTATATACTAAATACACTAACTTTTAATCTATCATCTAAGGCAAGTTATGCTGGTTTATTTACTAACCTTATTCAGTTTGTATCTTCGACTTCGTATATCATCGAGTAGCATTTCGTATGGAGTAAGTTCGTACTCAATCGACGGTTCCGTCTGTGGAAGATGATCTAATCGTACCTTCTTTAATACCACGCCCTGTCTCAATTCGCGGATTACCTTGTAGCACGGAGCAGAACATATGATTTAGATTATTCGAGACCTCATATCTTAGGAATATATGAGTATATTTTTTAAACTTTTTAGTAAAGTTTACTTGCACCTTTTATATTGGATATAAACATAAACTTGAACGGAGGAAGGTTGGAAACGCTCTATTTTGTACAGCAATCTAAAGACGAGCTACACAAGATTTCAATCACTTCACAGATTCTAGTACCTATACGTATATGCTATAGATATATTTTACTAATTTCTAAAGTCCAGTATAGTCATCTTTGTAGAGCCCTTCGCGTGCAGCATTGACACTTTAATCCACTAAAGGTAAGTAGATAGTCAAGATTACAGAAAACGAAAGCTGAATGGGAAGTTACTTTGATCCTTCGAACTATTAGATAGAACTATTTTTATTACAACGTAACTTTTAACATGACACAACGCTACAAAAGTTTCGAGTATGTACTGGACAATGCATATGTACAGATTAC